TGAGGTACCACCTAACCCCAGTCAAAATGTCTAATATTAAAAAAACAAAAAATGATAAGTGTTGGCGGGGGTGTGGTGAAAGGGGAACTCTTTTACAGTGCTGGTGGGAATGCAGATTGGTCCAACCACTGTGGAGAATAATTTGGAGATTCCTCAAAAATCTACAGATAGATCTGCCATATGATCCAGGGATCCCACTCCTCAGTATCTACCCAAAAGACAGAAGAATTCTTCATTGGAAAAGTGCTTGCACATCGATGATTATTGTGGCACTATTCACAATTTCTAAGTCATGGAACCAACCCAAATGAACCCGTATGGGGGAATGGATTGAAAAACTGTGGCACATATACTCTATGGAATACTACTCAGCCATAAAAACCAACAGAACCCTGGCTTTTGACAGAAAGTGGAAGAATATGGAAGATGTACTGCTGAGTGAGGCAAGCCAGGCTATGAAGGAGAGACATTATATGTTCCCACTTAACATATATCGTATGTCTGCATTCTATGACTGAAACTGATTGACTAACGGTTGAACAAACACAAGAGATGGGTGTGAATGTCAGATGAGGTGTATGTGGAGGAGTGGGGCCTAACGAAGGACATTTGGAGAAGGGATACAGAGGTAGAGCATTGATGGGATGGGGAGGTGTGGTGTTATCTGTGGAAGATATTTTGATCAACGGGTCTGGGGAGAAATGTGCACATATCAAAATAGTCTCATTGTAAGCCAAACAATATGATTGAAAGAATATACCCCCCAAAAAAATAAATAATGTGAGAAAAATATAAATAAATAAATAAAAATAAAAATAAAATGGAATTTCAAGAGACTTTTAAAACAGCCAAAACAATCTTGAAAGAGAAGAAGAGGGACCAGCAGATGACGAAATGGTTATATCGCTGGACTCCCATGTAGTTGACAGTAGTTCGAGTCTTAGACTGGGCTTAAACATGCACAGGCACATTGTGCCTGTGTGCCCAAAACCCTGAGAGGAGAATGGGGGAGAAGGGATTACAGTATGGCCATCCTCCCAGGGAGTGATTTCTCACTGTCTGTTTCTCTGGTGACATATGCACCTTATAGCAAAAATAAATAAATAAATAAAAGAGATAGAACAAAGCTGGAGGTCTCATACTTCTTGACTGCAGAACTTATTATAAAACTACAGTCATTAAAATGGCATGGTTCTGGCTGAAAGACAAATTTACAGGTCAATGGAATAGAGTACAGAACCTAGGAATAAATTCCAAAATATATATGGTCAAATGATATTATAAGTGTGCCAAGACCATTCAATGAAGAAAAGACAGTTTTTTCAACAAATAGTGTTAGAAAAATGGATATCCACATGCAAAATACAAACTAAAAGAAACTAATTTAAAATGTATCAAAGACCCACATGTAAAAGTTAATACTATGTAAAATCTTAGAAAACATAGGAGAAAGTTTTGACATCATATTGTGTAATAATTTCTTACATATGATGACAAAAGCACAGGCAACAAAATTAAAAACAAACTGGACTACATTAAACTGGAAACTGTGCAACATAGAACATAATTATTTAACTAGGTGAAAAGGCAACCAACATAACAGAACATATTTCAAAACCACATATCTGATGAGGGATTTTTATTCAGAATATATAAAGAACTAGTACAGAGCCAGACAGTGGTGTGGTGTTTAGACAGCTGGATTCTACATGCCAATGGCATGGTTCAAGTCCCAGATCCAGCATCTTAAAAAACATGCCAGGTACTTGTGCATGCATTCTCTAAAATCCCAAAAGGAAAAATAGAAGAGAAGGGATTATGGTTGACTATCCCTCAGGAGGGGTGCTTTCTCATTCTTCCCACCCCTATCATCTCCCTTTGAAGAGTGCATGTACCCTCTAGCAAATTAAAAACAAACAAAAACACCTTCTACAACTCAAAAAGAATCAATCAACAAATAACCTGATTAGAACATGGACAAAGGCCTTGAATATACACGTCTCAAAAAAAGACATATACATGACCAACAAACCCATAGCAATGCTCAACATCACTAATCATTAGGAAAATATAAATCGAAAATCACAGTATCACCTTATACCCATTACAATGGCTGCTATGAAAACACCAACATGGACCAGGCAGTGGCATAGTGGTAATGCAAATGGACCTAAATAGTAAGGTCCTGGGTTCATATCCTGGCGCTCCCTCTACATGTTGGGCATGTATGCATGTGCCCAGTGATCTGGGCCGGCTGACACTGGAGGTAGATTGTAGTGTGAGGATGCTGTTGGGGATGCCTGTCTCTCTCAAAAAAAAAAAAAATTTTTTTAAATGATGGCAGAAAACAACAAGGGCCTGGCAAGGATGTGTGTAGAGAAATCAGAACTACTGTGTACAGTTAGTAGGAATGGAAAATGGTACAGCCTCTGTGGAAAACAGTATGGGGTTCCTCAAAAAATTCAAAATAGATTAGCACAGGTTCCAACATACAATTTCTGAGGATATAGTCAAAAGAATTGAAAGTAAGGTCTCAAAGAAATATCTGCATACCCATGTTCATAGCAGCATTAGTCACAATAGTCAAAAGGAAGAAGCAACCCAAATGTCCATCAATTGATAAAGGAATAAGCAAAATTGGTATATAATGAAGTATTATTCAACCTTAAGAGGAAAGTAAATTCTGACACATTCTGCAACACTGATGAACTATTAGGATATCATGCTAAGTGAAATAAACCAGTCATAAAAAAGAACATGACTGCGCTTACATGATGTAAAAAGAGGACAAGTATGATATCACTTACATGAGGTATCAAAATACTCAAACTCATAAAAACATACGGTAAAATGGTGGTATCAGGGGCTGGGGGGAGAGAGAAATGAGGAGTTACTATTTAATAAGTACAGAGTTTCACCTGTACAAGATGAAAATTTCTAAAGATTAGTTGTACAACATGAATATACTTAACACTAATACTACTGAACCGTATATACTTAACAATGGTTAAGATAGGGACCAGCAGATGACATAATGGTTACGTTGCTGGACTTCCACATAGTTGAACGCAGTTTGAATCCTGGACCTGGCAGCTTAAAACTCATGCCAATGTGTGTGCATGGATGCCCAAAACTCCGAGGGAAGAATGGAGGAGAAGGGATTGTGGCAAGGCCATCCTCCTGAAGGGTGATTTCTTGCTTTCTATCTCTTTGCCTCTCATGCAAGCACATGTATCCTATAGTAAAAATATCTCTTGTGAAATAAGGCCAGCCTATGAAGTGGTATTTAAGGAAGCTGGATCCCCTGTGGCCAACTATGTGGTTGGAGTCCTGGACCCAGTGGCTTGAAAAACACACTGGGCACATGTGCATGTATACCCAAAGTCCCAAGAGGAGGGAAAGATAGAGCAGAAGGATTGTGTAATGAACATTCCCCATGGGAGAAGGGAGTGCTTTCTCACTTTCTTTCCTCTGTGTCTCTCTCCAGTAAGTGCACACACCCTCAGACAAATTTCAATTAAAAAAATGTCAAAACAAAAAACAGGACAAAAGTAACACAATACTGCCTGTTTGGGCCATTTATATTCAACTTTGACTGAAAATCCTAACCAAATCAATTAGGAATAAATAAATAGCACCTAAATTGGAAAGGAAGAAGTAAAACTATCTCTATTTGCAAATGACATGAGCTTATAAAAAATCTTAAAGAATCCACAATGAAACTATTAGAGCTAAGAAATAATTCAGCAAAGCTGAAAGATATACTAAAAATTAGTTTATATCAATACAATGAATAAACAAAAGGAAATTAAGAAAACACTCTATTTATAATAACATCTAAAAGAATAAATTTAAGCAACGATTTGCAACAATTGTACACTGAAAACTATAAAACATTGCTGAGAAAATTTAAGGCCTAAATAAATGGAAAAATGGCTCAAATGAATGAATTCAAAGATTTAATATTGTTAAGATGGCACTATTCCTCAAAGTGATCTACAGATAAAATGCAATCCTTATCAAAATCACAACAGCCTCTTTTTTTTTTTGGAGAGGTTTTCACTATAGGGCACGTGCGCTCGCCAGAGAGACAGAGAGAGACATAGAGACAGAAAGCGAGAAATCACCCCCCACGGGGGGGATGGTCACACCGCAATCCCTTCTCCTCCTTTCTCCTCTCGGGATCTTGGGCACGCACGCACGCACGCACGCACGCACGCACACGCGCCCAGCGTGAGTTTTTTAAGCCACCGGGTCCGGGACATGAACCACCGTCGACTACACGGGAGTCCAGCGACATAGCTATTACACTAACTGCTGGTTTCCTCAACAGCCTTTTGTGAAGAAACAGAAACGCTAACCTAAAATTATTATAGAATTGCAAGGAATCCTGCTGTGCAAAGGTCTGGAATTTCCACAATAAGCTAAATGTAGAATAATCATTATGAACCAACAATTTCACCCCTAGATATATACCCAAGAGAACTGAAAATACGTACAGAAACTTGTACATATATGCTCACAAGCACTATTGACCTCCAATGTAAGTAAAAAGTGATCTATCCATACAATGGAACATTATGCCAACTGCTGGTCCCCCATACCAATGGAATATTACTCAATCATAAAAACTAATGAAGTACTGATAAACATTGCAATAGAAATGGACCCTGAAAACATCATGCTCTATGAAATGTCCAACACAAAAGGCCATGTATTATATGATGCCATTTATATGCCATATCAGAAATAGGCAAATTGATAAAGACTGAAAGCAGATTATTGATTACTAGGGGATAAGAAGAGAAAAAAAGGGAGTAACTGCTTACAAAGGACATGGTGTTTCTTTTTGGAGTGGTAAAAGTACTCTAGAAGCAGATGGTGACATGGTTGCACAACACTGTAAATGTACTACGTACTACTGAATTCTACACTTTAATGATTAAATTGTGAATGGTGAATGTTAAATGTGAATGTTAAATGTTACCTAAATTTTACAAATTTTTAGAGTATAATTTCTTGCCAGATTCTGCTTCTGCATAACCCCAAGACTGTCACAAACCCTGCTGCATCCTACTACCATACTGTTCATCCTGGTCTACTAGGACTTGTCCCTTCTTTGAACAATCATGAGTCCTACTGCTGGTATAATTCATTTTAATTATTTAATCTCATACTTATCCCTGAGTTGGACAAGAATTATTCACTTTATTGCTACTTTATATTAAAAAAACTTTTTTTATGTTCTATTATCACAGTAAGGTCACAAGATCTACAGTTACCTACAAGGCATCTTTGCCCTACCACTGGTCTACTCTCTATCAGCAGTCAGCAATCATTTTCTGTAAAGGACCACATAAATATTTCAGGCTGTGGCCCATGTAATCTGTTGCAATCAGTCACTTCTGCCCTTGTAGTGTGAACCTACCCATAAGATAATGCCTAAATGAATATGGTTCTTCCCCAATAAAACTTTATAAATACTAAAAGTTAAATTTCATATATGTTCACCTTATAAAATATTACTCTTTATTTTTTTCCTAACCATCTAAATATGTAAAAAAAAAAAAAAATTCTTAGTTTGCAGGTTGTTAAAATAAAACAGGCAGCAGGCTCCCTTTAGCCCATGAACTGTAATTTGCTAATCCTGCTTCTAAATATTCCCTGATGTTCTTTCTACTGTTTCATATAAATGCATAGACATTTCATAAACCTCATACAATCATTGTGAAGCAAAACTTTAAAAATGAACAACTTACCTCAGATGTGATCATTTTTCACAGGAGTTGGAAGAGCACAGAAAACTATGAGGGTACAGCTGAGAAAGAAGGAAAGATCATGAGACGTCACCTTCCTAAAAAGTTCACATCAAATGTGGCAAAACACCTCTGAATGAGAGATGCCTTGAGAAGGCGCAGAATGGTTGACAGTGACATGTCCAGGTGTGGCTGTAGTATAACTATGTAGTGTTTGGATATTCTAGTTTTCAAGTGTGAAGACTTGTTTTCTATTGATTAACAAACTGTGCTCTATTCTAAAACAGGAATATGCAAACCAACATACTATAATTAAGCAAATGATGAAAACCAAAAAGATGGAGCATAATACTTTTGTTAAGATAGATGCTGAGCAAAAAGTACTCATATATTCTTTATTATAAACAAGAGAATACAAACAAGGTTCGGGAAAAAAGAAAGTGACGCCTTAAGGCCCAGTCTGTTTTGAAAATAGTTTGCTCTAAGTTGGTTTTAGTAAACCAGGTGACTTTTGTTCTCAAAAGAATGCTTTGATGCTTTGATTTTAAAAATCAAACTGTTTCTGACTTATCAGTTGTTAGAACAGGAATCATCTGGCTCTTCAAGAACTCATCTGCTATTGATTCAGCCACACAAAACATGTCACTGTAACTAGTTACTTAACATTTTAGGTTCATTTCCCACACCATTGCCACCCCCTGCAACACTAAAATAAAGCCGAAATAGCAGACTCAAAGACCATACTTGTGGTACTACCTTTGATCCCGCAAGATCAGGATAGCGGGACCACCAACCATCAACGCACCTCATTGTGTTGGACTATGCCAGCAGCTCAGAATCTGCAAAGGAAGAGTAGAGAATGAAGGAATGAGGGCTTCCTTCCACATGTTGCCTTCATGACTCCCCCAAGCAGCAGCGTTCTCTATTCCTTCTGCCCTGCCCTCCTCTCCAGCCACAGGGCACATGTCTCCTGAGACGTGACCATAATTTCCTCCATCACAGCCTGTGGCGGCGTCTGAGGCGACGCTGGTCCTGCCCAGGAGTCTTCGCTCCTTCCACCTGAGCTCTGCATCTCCGCTGGGGTCTCCCGACAGCCGGGTGTCCCAGCAGCAATTCCGGCTCCAGGGACCGCCCACCCTGCCCTCCTGACCTCAGAGAGCCGCTTTCCGGTCACCTGAATACAGGCCGGCCCTTCTGGAATTGCAAACCCGGAATACCCGGAGGCTGCAGGGCAGAGTGTGGGAGGCCGCGGCTGCACCGTGTGCCGGGCTGCGCGCTCTTGAAGGAACAACACAGAAATCGGCAAATGCGAAGGCCGCCGATGGCCGCAAGGCACGCACACCTCAGCGCTGGCCGCTCCCGCCCCGCCCAGCCCAGGCGCCGCCGCCGGCCC